CGACCTGAAGCCTTCTGACGACCTGAAGCCTTGAAGACCTGAAGCCTCCTGACGACCTGAAGCCTTCTGACGACCTGAAGCCTTGAAGACCTCTGACGCCTTGAAGACCTGAAGCCTTCTGACGACCTGAAGACCTGAAGCCTTGAAGACCTGAAACCTTGTCGTGTCTTCGTGTCTTCGCGTGTCTTCGTGTCTTCGCGTGTCTTCGTGTCTTCGTGTCTTTGCGCAAAAGTCACGACCCGCTTCTGCCAACGCAATGGCACATTGAGTGCGTCGTTACAAAACCAAACTACATATAAACAAATTCATACAAGTGCAAAAGAATGGCTCCGTTTTGTCGGATTTGCGCCTGATGGACAATGGGCGATGTATCAAACTCAAAACCCCTTGCAGGCAATCCCCACAGCATTTCCTATGAACGGTGGCTTTTGTGGAGACCCCCTCAGCGGCCAAAACATAGAGAGAGACCCCTCAAGGTCTTCAAACCGAAAGGTTCACTGTTTCTGTTCTCGGTATTTTCCAATCCAGTTTGATGCACCGACACGTGTCTACATCGACGGAAAATCAATTATATATAATACATATATATATATATACTAAAGCGAAAACAGTCCCAATCACTTGCTGCATTGGTGTGCACCCTTGCAGCACTGCGAAGAGGGAGACGTCCACAGCGAAAGCAAAGGCGACACGATCCCCCAGAAGCAAAGATGGCAAGTTGGCCTGGGTGCGGGCAAGGTTCTAAGGACAATTCTGCGTAGGACATCTGAAGATTGGCTACCGGCTACAGGTACTCACCGTGTCACCACTCATCGTTTTTGAGACTCAACCGCGCGAAAAACATGTTTGCGAACCCAGCACGGGTTTTTCAGGCACAGCGTGACATGCCGCGGTCATGGAGCACCGCGATGCGCCACATTGCCACAACCATACACCTGCCATATCACGCGTAAAGTAAGTAGTGTTCAAACTTGAGGGGATACTAACTACGTGCCAAAACCTGCAGTCTTGCGCGCCCTTCATTATATGAAGCATTAAAACTACTTGCGCACACAAGCGGATCGCTCTGAACAGCACCGTCCTTGATGAGAAATATGTAAACATATATGTAAACATAGATCCGTGACCTTGAAACTCCAGTGGCACAACGCCGTTCATAAACGGCTATACATATATCCACAAAGGACAATGAACAAACAAGGCATGGTTTGTCAGCCTCAACATGGACCCCATGCATGTCCCGTGCAGCGTGACATGTCGCCCACGAACTGGAGGTGAAGTACCGCCATTTGCGGGCCCATGCATTTCCCGTGCAGCGTGACATGCCGCCCACGAACTGGAGGTGCACGAAGCACCGCCATTTGCTGCCCTGCCGTCACCCCACATAGCTTTGAAGCATACGCAATATCATGCAGTACCTCCTAGTTTGTCCAGTCGATGGGAGCAACCATGCTACATCATATAGCTCACTGCAATGTCATTGTGGCTGTGCTAGTCAGGCATGGTTAGGCGTTAGGAAAGAGCCCAGAACCATGCAAGTCAACATGCCCGGTCCCAGACTTGCTCCACTGGCGCAAAGTCGGTTAGGAGTCAAAGTCTCAATGAACTGAGAAAAATGTGGTTTGTCAGCCTCAGCAGGGGTCACGTTTCTCATGCAGCGTGACATGTCGCCCATGAACTGGTGGTGGTGCACCGCCATGCGCTGCCCTGCCATCACCCTACATAGCTTTCAAACATATGCCGTATCATGCCACGCCTCCTAGCTTGTCCAAACGTACAATCTAAAATCTGCGAGTCTTTATCGGTGACTTAATGCTTTCTGATCGGAGGTTGCCTACATAGCAAGCCCCAATGAGGGATTGAGGCAAAGCCGCTGGTGTAGGTACCAAAGATTGACCAGCCGTAGACTGACTGAGGTTTCTTTTTATATAGTGGCCACTTGTGACCCTGTGGGCCAATACTCCCTCGCTTCTTACGTATCCCGCTATTGAGGTCGCCACCCCAGTGGAGGTCAGGCGCCCGACCGATCAGTGTTTTTTTCGTTTTTTTCGGGAAAAGCAAACACGTGAAGACCCGGGTGGAAACCAAACGGAGCGAGCTGCAGGAGCATAGTGACAAACAGAGAGGACGTTTGGTCAAAACATTGAAAAATAGATGACGCACCTCTGTTCTTCTTCCCCACCTGCCAGGTGAGGGTTCAGTTTATCAGGGCTGTTCTCTTCTCTTCTCTTCTCTTCGCTTCTCTTCTCAGATCGCAGTATACCGGACCGCGCAGGGCAAGTGCATGATCTCAGGGCCTCAACTGCAAGTGCCAGATCGCAGTGAGCACTATATCAGAACTCAACAGCAAGCGCCAGATTGCAGTGGGCACTGCCGGACCTCAACCGCCATGGCAGCTCCCAATCGCAGTAGGCACGCGCTCGCCCCGAACCCAGCCAAGAGCGAGGGGGAGTCTGGGTGCGCTGAAAGAGTCTGGCCCCAAAAACGCACACACCAAAATGCACTCCCTGAAATAGCACCACCGGCTTGGCCTGTTTGGTATGAGGATTTCGTGGTCTTTCCGGGGGTCATGCCATCCACGTAACCATGATCGTTTCAGGGAGTGTGCATTATGACTCAGTATGATTGATCTGCATCATCCTACCGGGATATTCTAACTCATCCGATTTGATCCCTTTTTGGGGATGTCTTCTCCCAAACCACATAACAATGAGCGAAAATTGAAACCCGCCCACCAGGTGAAGGGTGGGTTCTCCTCTTTTCCCCAAACAGTATGGACACACTTAGGGTTCTTACGGTGAGGGAGAGGAAGCTGATGCTTAGATCGCTGAAGCGCGCGGGCGTGACCGGCTAATTTGCTGCTATTTACAGTACATTCATGCCTCTCGACATCGTCAATGTGCATTTCGACTGCGCAGGCTCGGCAGAATCTGGGGGCTGGCGGCGGGTGCTTCTATAGCGACTGCGGTCTCGTTGTGGTGCCGTGCGCATTTTCGCACATGGTGGTCAATTCTCGTGGCAGGCGCAGCCACGGAATCTGCACTTCAAGGGTCACCAAGCGCTGCGCCTGCCACGAAATCTGCACTTCGAGGTTTGTCACAAAGTGCTGCACCTGCCACGAAATCTGCGCATCGAGGGTCAGAGTGCTTTGCCTGGAGCCACATGCCCAAAAGTCACAATTCACTGCACCTGTCACGAAATCTGAGCTCCTCGACGATCGCCACCATGTCCAAAGTGCTGCGCCTGCCACGAAATCTGCATGCATTTCGAAGTAAAACAGCCCCGATCCCCCGCAAAAAGCCGACTCTGGACCACCAAACCACCAAACCTCAAAGTGCAGATTTCGTGGCAGGCGCAGCGCTTGGTGAACCTTGAAGTGCAGATTCCGTGGCAGGCACAGCACTTGGTGAACCTCGAAGTGCAGATTTCGTGGCAAGCACAGCACTTGGTGAACCTCGAAGTGCAGATCCGGCGCAGGCGCAGTACTTTTGCGAAGCTCGAATGTGCAGTGCAGATTTCAGCACAGGCGCACTCTCAGATGCTCACTCTCTCACTCTCTCACTCTCACTCTCATCCTCACTCTCACTCACTCACACACGCTCACACTCACATTCACAATCGCACTCGCACTCACTCACACTCACATCCACATTCACACTCACTCTCACTCACACTCGCACTCACTCACTCTCAATCACACTCACTCTCATCCACACTCACTCTCACCTAACTCTCACACACTCACCCACACTCACACTCACACTCACTCTCACTCTCACCCTCACTCTCACTCTCACACTCACTCACTCTCCCACTCTCACTCTCACTCACTCTCCCCACTCTCACTCTCACACACTCACTCTCACTCTCACCCACACTCGCTCACCCACCTTCACTCTCACTCACACTCACTCTCACTTACTCTCACCCACACTCACTCTCACTCACACTCACTCACACTCACTCTCAGCGACACTCACTCTCGCTCACTCTCACTCACACTCGCACTCACACTCGCACTCGCTCACTCTCCCACTCCCACTCACACTCACACTCCCTCACACTCTCACTCTCCCACTCACACTCACTCTCCCTCTCACTCACGCACTCACACTCACTCACCACCACCGCCACCGTCACCACGATCCGCACCTTCATCACCACCATAAACTCTCTGGACCCCAATGCGTCTAGATCCTAGACTTTCTGTTTAAAGACCTCACACACACACACACACACGGTTTGGGGTCTCTTGCCAGGATAATTTTGTGTTGTTTGTATTCCCTAGGGCTCCAACCACCTTCTGAGATGGTTGGGGTGGAATTCGGGGATCTAACCACCTTCTGAGGAGATGGTTGGAGCCCTAGGGATTGTATTGTGTGTTTTTTCCCGTACTCTTGCTTGCCCTGTTCAGTGGGCGTCCAATGAAACTCCACCGGAGCCGGACATAGATGAGCTTTGACATGACACATGGGACTGTGAGCTTTGAGCCCCCCCCCAATGGACCCTGAAATCAATCATCCCAATGCAAGTAAAAATGCCGTAACACTCCATGTATGGCATTTCTGCCCATGCAGTGAAATTCACATGTTTTAGGGGTCAATGTAACATGGCGTGGGGGTGACGAACATGCTTTTGTTTCGCCCATTGAATTCACCCGCTCGACGCTCACCATTAAGATCCAGTGGCTTCGGCCGGAATTGTCCGTGGCTCTTGAGTTTTAGTGGTGGGGGGTGGTGTGTTTCTTCTGCTATATAGTGGTGGAGACTGATAAACCTGCAGATTTTGCTGGTGTAAAAAGGAAAGACCGCCTCGTGGTTCGATTCGATCTGTTTCGTTTGCCATGATCGTGATCCCCTTGTCTCAATGTCTCATTGTCTCATTTCGCGGCTGTGGAGTGAGGCTGAAATTCGTTTTCACCCAAGCGTCATAAAGGCCCCAGGACTGCCAAAGCGCCACAGCAAGCACCACCAAAGCTACAAGCCCAAAGAGCGGTGCCCAAGCAACCCGTGCTCGAGAGGTAGAGCTTCCTGCAGGCTCCTGGCAGGCGGAGTATGATTGAGGATTCTTGAGATGACAGTGTTTTGGGCTGACAGGTTTCGCCCTACCCGAAAACCGAACAATTGATTGAACATTTATCATCTATCCTGCGTTCCTACCTACAGGCCCGCACAAAAACCTCTGTCTCGGAAAGGAACAATAGGACGGAATAGGACGCTTTACCATATTTAACCATATCTTGGGTGCTTGGTGGTCCAACCAAAAATAAGTACATTTACATACATTTACTCATATCGTGGTGGGGGGCTGCTTTGGCCTCTTTGTCTGTGGAGGCCAGAAACTATTTACTAAATTCTAGAAACTATTTACTAAATGCCAGAAACTATTTACTGAATGCCAGAAACTATTTACTAAATGAATGACCATATTGAATGACCACGTATACCAAGAGAGGTTAAGTGACCTTATAGGACCCTACTGGGGTGCCTATGGGATAGTCTATAGGGTCATTCAACCTGTGTTGGTAGGATTATATCAGAAACGATTCTTTCGTAATCCCAACATATAACCGGCACCGAGGCGATCCGCTCGCTCCGCTAACCGATGATCTGGAAAGGACCTGGACCTGTTACGCGCGTGAGTTTCAACCACACCAGGGACGTTGGCCGTAAGTCCCTCGCTGGCTTTTTTGGGGTGCCGGACACTCACTGGCACCATCTGATCTTGCTGCCCCTATAGGGCTCCAGTCGTACCTCGTCAGGTTCGGTATGACTGGACCCTCCTGGCACCCAGGCCCCGTCCGTCCCACCTGGCACCTTAGGGTCAGTGGGGTGGCTCAGAACCCCCCCCCCCGTACAGGTGACCAGAAGGGTGAGACCAGTGATCCGATCCCACTTGTCCCACGAAGGCTGGGGACCAAAGCCAAGCTTTGCCACTTCAAAAGGGCTCAATTCCCAAACACGACACATAAAACTGCCTATATACATTGGGGTGGTTGAAAAGGGGTCAAACTATACTTTTTGGGGGTTGTTAAATAGGGAAAGTAAGCCGGCCAACACAAGCACCACTGGCATTCTACCCCTAAAAGTCCAAAGACCTGGTAAAACCTGGTGTTTTACCTTATAAGTAGTGTTTTTGTGTGACCAACTCCAGCAAAATGAGCTCATTGTCTTGTATAGGGTGCCAATTAATCCTGCCTCTGCCAGTCGACAGCCCTCCATGTGACTCTCCAAGCGTCCAATGCCCGAGTGGCAAAGTAGGGCAACAGGATCCTCGGCCCGGCAAGGAAGGCGACTTGCGACTGGGTCGTTTCAACGCACGAAACAGATTTGTTTGCCATAAGTTATAAAGGTCGCCCATTGGCAAGTCTGTGATTTGACCAGCTGGCGTTTTTTGGCAAGTCCGTGATTTGGTGTCCAGGAATCGTTCTTTCGACGTTGGATTGCTAACAGGCTCAATCTGGGCCAAGCGAAAACGTGAGGCAAGCTTGGATTGGTTCCAGGAAGCCGGGACTTTGCTCGCCAGGTACCAAGTCTTTCGCCCTGACTTGGGGCCAAATCATCAGCAAAACACAAGAAAAACCATGCAAAACCGGACCAATCAAACGAAAACCCCAACTGAGAGACGGTTCCATGGATGGTCATGGATGGTCCCAACAAGCTATACTGACAGCGACAAGTGCCTGGAATAAGGGTGGCTGGATCCTTACGTATCTATAAAATTTAGGGGGTTATTGGTCTTCTTCACGAGCAGCACCAGTCAATCTATTATGGTGAAGACGTGCAACATGGTTCAACACGGTGCAACAGTAGCAGTGTAGCAGTGCGAACAAACGTTGGAGATGGAACCTGGGACCCAGGGTTCCCGTCTCAAGAAGGACTCCGGTGCTCATCTATAGCCCGGGTGTATGCCAAAAAGCCAGGTTTGTAGGAAGGATTGATGAAACCATGGATCCCTGGTCCCTCACCGCCGTATTGCGCGGTGTTCAACCAAGCAACGCATTGGTGAGAAACATCGCAGGTGCCCACCAGGCATAGACGTTCTTGCGCTCTGGGCGGTCCCAAAGCAGCAAAGGCAGCAACATGAAGGCATAGGCTTCCTAGTCTCAATGGCGTGCTTGGATGTCATTTTCAACTTTTGTCCCACGACTTATCAAGACTCCAAGGAGATTTAACCATAAGGACTCCTTAAGCATCAGCTTAATTGAGCAAAAACATGTCTTCTTGGCTTCGCAACCCGCATGTCCAGTAGCGCCCACCATGATATTCACCGTCAAATTGGTTTCGGAGACGCACACTCACAAAGCATATTGGAGTAGAACGAGTCCAGAGTTGCAGGAAATATGAGGAAATGCTTGTCCGCAAAGCCCTCTCTCAATTACGGTACATCATTTACACCGCCAAATACTGCTTGCTCGAGAACAACAGAAATCACATACTGTACTGGTAGAACAAAGGAACCAAATGGAACATTGGCCGCAAACATCCCGATGGCCGCCCGGATGGCTGCGCTCTCTCCCCCTGTCCACCAAGTAGTTGGTCCAACACCCCCAACACACCGCTACCACTGGTCTCAAGGAAGCACACTCCGAGACCCCAAAACCAAACACACGAACTGCAGCTGCACACCTTCCCCTGTTCAGGACTTATGGTGACGTGGATGGAATGGCTCCTTGGATGCTCATGCAACCGCAACAAACCGGTGGTTTTCCACTTCCATCGTAGTTCCGGGGGGGAGAGTATAGCCTATAGCCAAGGTTGACCTGATCGGCTTTTTGGACGAGAAATCGCCAAAAAGCGAAGGTTGGCGATGTCCGTCACGGAACAACCGAACAACCACAAAAACGAACCACCCCAATCACTTCATATAGGATTCAATCACTTCATCAGCCTAATTACAAGTCAATGAGCTCATTTGACTGGAGTTGGTCATACAAACACGACTTAAGGACGTAAACAAAAAAAAACAGATTTTACTGGGTCCTTGGACTTGCAAGGTAGGAATGAATCCTTCAGGAATGAATCCTGGTGAGCAAAGAATGTAGGTCATCCAAGTTGCAATGCCACTTTCCACGTGTCCAAATCCCCCCATGCCGAGCTGCTGCCACGTTAAACAGGGCCTAAGTGCTAGTGCCGGTGATGTTTCTTCGCATCTATGGGGTTCATTCTTGTAAAATCCCTTGCATTTCAGAACTCCCGACCCTCCTTGGGTCTCAGTTCTGTAGGTGTTCATTGATGTGCTCTTCAATGACATTGGCGGAGCTTCACGACTCTCAAACCCATATCAATCTTGGCGTGCGCCTTATCGAACAAGAAAATTCAATCTTCTGAGCAAACATACTGTGCACTAACTTTTGCCCCCCACCCTAAAGCTGTCTTCCACGCCGACTTCAAATCGTGTTACTAGAATTTATATGTTACTCTATTCGTCTTTTGCATGTCCCCGTTTTGCGGAAACAAGGGTCTTCTACAGCTCCTCCAAAGAAAGTAAACCGTTGTGTGGAAGCGGGGTGTCGGATGTCCGTGCGATTCGACCGAGGATTTGACATGGGGCACTTGCGTTTAGCCCCTCGCTCTCAACATCTTTGAAAGTAGTCACCTCAGACCTCAGCTATAGGATATACAGTGACCCAACTCCACTCCATGCCCTGGGAACCCCACACAGCCCAGCGGCCAAGCGCAAGGGGTCCACTTCAGGTAGTGGGAAAAGGCTGCTGGGGCTTGGGAGGCCCAAGGAATCCAAGCCAGGCCAAATATAGAAGAAGTTCAAGGATTCGTCCTCAGCAACACACTGTGTAGAGAAGCTTTTCCCAACAGCATCATTCAGCACCAACTAGGAGACGAATGGGAACTGAAGGATGCCTGGGTGTCCTGGGCTTGAAACTGCTCAACTAGGAGACGATTTGATTGGGGCTCTTCTTCCTTCTCAGCGATGAACGCTCCAGCAGTCACAAAGGGGTGCGATCTATGGAGGTTAGGGGTACCAAGAACATCCACTCACTTGGGGACTAAACACCACCCCGACATGTGACTCCTGGCCTGTGGTTCTTGAAGAAGTGCCACTTACGTCCCATCCTTCACCTGGAAGAGCTGTCACATCCTGCAGCCGGCTGTCACATCCAACAAAACATATATGAAATAACTTGGTGAACATCCATCAGCCTTGACAGCTGTTTTTCTTTTATACTAAGCGATTTCGCCAGTGGGGCTTTCGCCCGTCCCATCCGAAACCCACGCTTCGCCGTAACTCGTGTCACCGGGCTCGTCCCTCTCGTCCCGGGCTCGACGACATTGCGCAGCGTGGTCTCGTCGATGGCCCAAGCAGGGGGGCCACCGAGGAAGGGGAACTGACCTGCGCAGCGTGGACCGGACGGGACGAAGCGAAGGGAAAAACCCCCAGGTCTCAGAGTCTCCAGCCTAGGCTTCCTGGCCCACCATTCATTTAATAGGCGGGTCATCCCGAATCAACTAAGGATGTTACACTACAAAAACCAGGTCGTTCCCATCTTGTTTAATGGTCTTGGAAGTCTCGGTCTCCATGCTCTCCTCGGAAAACGTTGGGCACTGTAAGAACGATTGGTGACTTGTTGGAAGAGACTGGGACGTTACTGTAACCATTCCAGTCACTTCTTGGTACATGATTGTAACCATTAACCATTCCATTGGTACCTTGACCCCATTTATGACCCCAACTGTATACATAACTAGTCGTTCGTCCCATCATCTGGATTTGTCGTTCGTCCCATCAGTGGGGACCGCTTCCTGGTCCAGGTCCCGGATGGATTGGCCCAAACCAACTCGGGCATTGAAAAGAACATCGACTTGTCTGGCTCTGTCTGGCGACGTCCGAGGAAAACACATGGAACACTCTGCCCCGCCTTGCGGTGAGAGTAGCAAGATATACCTCGTTTTCGAAGAGTGGTGGGCAAACGCGGCTTGGTGCAAGTCATGTGAACCAAGCTCTGCAGCGCGCTACCATATGTAGAGGCACTTCATGCAAACAAAACCAACAAACAGATTCTTTGGCAGGTCGCTGTTTTGGCCTCCTGATGTACCAAGGTAAACCGGTGAACGAAGGTGGTCATCAGGGACACAAGCTGAACAAGCAGAATCATCATCATCATCATCATGATCGAGCGAGCGAGCCAGCCCGCCAGCCAGCCAGCCAGCCAGCCAGCCAGTCAGCCTGCAACAAACCAACCAACCAACCAACCAACCAACCAACCATCAATCATCATCATGTATCAGGTGGCATCATGTACATAATCATCATGTATCATTGGATCTCCCCGGCGACCAGTGGCTCCCTCCTGAGCTAGTCGGCTAGTCATTGATAAGCTGCATCGTGCTGCATTTAAGATCGCAAACTAGCTCCCGCTCCTTGGGGCTTAGCGCATGGCGTAGCATCCACATGAGTGAAGTGCTAAACATGCCTTTGGAATGTCAATGATAGGTGGCAAGAAGTAGTATGGAGCCAGTCCATTCTCTTGGTGGGGGCATGCAGCCTGAAAATTCACACCCACTTGGCTTGTGGCTTCAGTAGTCTTAGGAACCTTTCTTTCAGAGCCCCCACTGGTTGAGGCAGGACAATAATTTGTCCAGCCATGTCGCCAGTAGAGGCCAGCGGCCGTGGCGAAGGCCGCAAAAGTTCCCGCCAACCCTTGCTTGTAAGACCTGTCACGGTGCGATGAGCTACGCTTTTTGGCGTCTGACGGTCGCGCTCCGCGCGAGCGTCTGAACGTGCCTAACGACCTTCGGGATTCGAACACCTTCGATCGACGATGACCACCGCCGGGTCACATGTCCAGTCTGTTGCACACTTGTAACATGGCCATTTCCTCAAATTTAACTGCTACTGACTGTATACTGCATACTGCCAAAAAAACTACTAAATATAGCTGTTATAACCCCCACAGGAGGGTCCTGGTATATTATATTATGATTGATAGATCTTCCTGGAGCAACTCGTGAAACAATCATGCTTCACCCCCTCCAAGCTGCTAGCAAGGCATGCTCTGCCCAGCTGCAACCCAACCCTCTCAACACCCCCAACGCAGGCCGGTCGCCCAAGTTGCTCTCTGAAGTGGAGTTCACCAACCTGTTGAAGGAAAAACTGATCTTCCTTTTGGACCAATTGGCGACCCCCATCTTCATCACCACACATCACAAGCATGCGCACGCGCATGCGCACGAGCGTTCGCACGCGTGCGGTCCGCTCCAGGCGTCCGCGTCGGCGTGGAGTGGACGCACCTCACGAGGGCGGCCAAGAAGCCAACGATGCCTAAGGCAGAGCTGCCCAACCTGATGAACGTGGAGGTGAACGCGCAGACCGGGCCGTTTGGGGTTTGGGAAGACTGGCCTGGAAGACGTTTGGGAAGACGGAGCATGGGAGAACTCGAGCCAAGCATGAAGCATTGAAGCGTGTTTGAAGTCCTATGTTGGCTCTTCTCTTCAAACCGGGGGTCGTTGGGTCGGCCTCCCTTTTCCAAGGCAACCTATTCTGTTTGCAGTCTCCGATCCACATAATGATGGAAGGCCCTAGGGATCCAAGTACCTTCTCAGAAGGTACTTGGACCCTCAAAACCCACATAAGAGTGTCTCCAATCACCTTCTGAGAAGGTACTTGGATCCCTAGGGATTGCCCCTTGGATACCCTTGGATGACCATGATCTCCGAATACCAAACAGGTTCTGAATTCCACTAACCCATGATTATTTCAGGTTATTTCAGCGAGCGTACCTCCCGAAGCTTTGGTACTCAGAAGGGGTGTTTGAGACAGAAGAGTGCTGGAAGGCCAGTCTCTTTCTTTGTCAGGTCTCTTCTGCTAGGGTCTTGCTGTTCCTTGCTTAAGTACACATGTGTATGCTGTATACACCTTCATGCTTTCCTTTGCTTGCGCCTGTGCACTGCTGCGCCTTAATATGGGCTGCGCAGCTCTGCCAGACCGCCCGATGCCCTCCGCGGACCGATCGCCCCGAGCGTCGTCTCGTCTCCAGTCGTCTCGTCACGGCGCTTGAGGGGAGACTCCACGATGTCACGTGCATAAAGGAGTCTTCCTGAGCGACGCGGTGTCCCAAATGGGAAGAGGGGGGGAGGGGTCGGTGACAGGTAGTTACCTAATAGCCTATTGGTGGTACACGTGAGGGTCTCCTCTCTAGTAATCAACCAACGAATATAGCAACCCCAGTCGGGATGGTTCATGGACACCCCATGAACTACTGCTAAGGGGCTATAAATAGACACCCCGACAGGGTCCTGGTATATATTTAGCCATATTCCATTCCACCTGTTCTTGCGCAGAACGCGCCAGCCCCACTCCCGCAAGGAAACGATGTTCCCTGCAGCTGATCCACGTACTTCACTGGATAGGGATCTTCTGTCCCCCTTTCTACGTCCCATAGGGTCTCCCCGTGTCTCTCACTGCTCTTTTGGTTTCCAAGCAGACATGACCACGACCACCATGTCCCACACTCGCAGGATCGACATGGACCGACGACCTGAGAGTGAGAGAAAACACCGCAGAATTCTCGGAGCGCCCGTCGGGGGCCCCATATGCCCCCCGAATGGGGGTCCAAGCTGCCATTCTTCGTCTTGTAGAGTGAGGCGCCCCGGCTGTTGGGCAAAGCAACGCCATCGAATTCCACATGCCTGCGGTGGTGGCGCTGGCAGGGGCGAGGGTGGTGCAGAAGCGGGCGGGTTTCCCCCCCCGTGACGGGTGGCTGACCTCAGGAGTTCGAGGAAAACTGCAGTGATCGTTTTAGCAAATGAACGGCTCCAGCCTACCTACTACTACCTGACTATGTCTTTCGCACAAATGAGCTAAGGAGGCCAAGCTTCCACTACTATTATCTACTTAATCATAGCTGGATCTTCAAACGGCACAGCCAAATGCATTTTCTGTGAAAAAAAACGACGCTGTAGTGCTGTAGTCAAAAAGCATTGCCGTTTTGGGGGTTGCAAACAAGTGCTCAAAATCCACGGACTCGGAAAAACACCGTTTGGACGCCAAAAAACGGCAAGTTGGAAAGCCTAAAAACGCTGTGTTTGTTTGTCGACTAAAGGCGCCGTTTCTGCTTGGTCACAAAAAAAGAGCGTCGTCTTTGGGAAATGCCGTAACGGCATTCTTCTTGAAAAGGCAAGTATATGTGTGCCGTTTCGACCATCCAGGTATATTTCTTGTGGTGCCACCCTAAGGATCCAAGTACCCTCTGAGAAGGTGTTTGGGGTGGGTTTGGAGGGTCCAAGTACCTTTTGAGGTTTCCTAGGCGTCCAGCAAACTTGGCGGGGTCACAGTGACCGCAAGTTGAAGATGAATGGTGTGCTCTTCTTCTTGAAAATTCGATTAGTGCTTAAAACGTTAAACAGATCAAAAGGTTCTCATAATGGAACTCGAGAAAGGCCCAAAAGTTCGGGAACGTCCTCGTCAGCCATGGCATCCTTCCCATATACGGGGCGTGTCTCTGGTGAGCAGGATCATTGGTGGTATCATGTGATATGTTTGCTTCTAGTATGTGGCGGACCTCTTCATATAGGGGCTGAGTGAACGGTCCCAGAAACTGGGGGTAACTGTTGACGGCCGGAGCACAGGAGCCAACGGGCCCACTCCCTGAGACGTCCAAAAAGCCCGACCACACAGGTGGGTGCCATCATGCACCATCCACTTCCAGACTAACCCATACCCTAGGCCTCCAGTCGTACCTTCTTAGAAGGTGGGACTGGGAATGGGTTTAGGGAGTCCAAATACCGAGGATGTACGGAGCCAGTTTTTGTACAACCAGCGCTCCTGCAGCGCCCTTCGCAACGTCATGTCAAGCTCTACTGCTTCCCTATGGGTGTTCTGCACCCAAACCGGGTCGACTCCCAAACGTCGCGAAGCTGAGGCACCACGTCATACCGACCGCATCGTCCGGACCCCATGAGTCGCCCCCGGCGAGGTCATCGATCACGAAATCCAAGCCCTGCGGAGGGACGTGTGGGACGTCGATGAGGGAAGCTACCGAAGTGGAGTCAACCTGGAGTCCTGGCACCTTGAAAAGATGGGTACCAAATCCACCTCTTTTGGGTTGGGGGTCATGTCCCATGGTCTGCAACAGGGGAAAATAGGGTATATATATATATATATAGCCTCAAGTAGGAACCTGTAAGGCCTCTTCTTCTGTTGGCGGCGATGTTTTGGATCAGGATGATATACATATACCCTAGGGCTCGAACTACCTCCGTTTCGAAGATGGGACAGGGGTGGGTGCCAGGGGGGGTCTAAGCACCGAACCTGAGGATATGGGACAGGAGCCCTATAGGGATATATTGTATAGCGCCACTATATAACACGTTATAGTGCTTTTAGCATAGGGTCCTTCGGTGATTCTCAGTATGTGTGTAGACATATAGGGCAGTCCCATGGAGCGTCTGGGATTCATATTTCTTGGAACATGTTGGACCTCGACCGAACATGTCAGCAGATCGATGTGAACTTCAGTTGAACTTCAGTTGAACCACTTCAACCAGTTGCACCATCAGTCGCACCATCAGTTGAACATCCCTAGGGTTCCAACCATATCCTCAGGTTCGGTGGTTAGACCCCTTTGATCAAAGGATCCCCTTTGGCACCCACCCCAAGCTCCTTCGAAACGGAGGTACGGCTGGAGCCCAGTTGTAGCTTCTTGCCACTAGTAGCGAATGCCCTAGGAGCTTGTTACTATATAGTAATACTAGTAGCGATGCCAGGAGCTACTGGCAGCGTCCTTGCTACTATATACTCCTTTTATAGTGTCCAGTGAAATCACAATCCATGGTGCCTTTGGCAGGCTCATGGCATCGCCCAGCAGCTCGCGGACGCCCTCCCGGCCGCGGAAGGGCTCCTGTGCCGCGCAGTAGACGGGTGGAAACCTCACGGCGAAGTCTTCTACACTGACTTTCTCAGTTGCCCTGGAAACTATACCCTGAAAGTCCAAGACTATGTTCAACATGGTCTTTGGATGATCCGAAAAGGAATTTCCTTTACTTGGGTGGTGCCGAAAATAGTCTTTGGACTTCTAGGGTATAGACATGTGACATGTTTTCCAGGACCCTCCTGTCGGGGTGTCTATTTATAGCCCCTTAGCCGTGATTTGGGGTGTTCATTAACCACCTGTTGAAGGCTTTGGTTTATTCAATGATATTCAATGCCAATGCTATGTCACCAAAGTTAACCCAAACTTTCCACCTGTTCACCAATCAGGTCCGACGACTGCACCACTCAAGTCTTGAGTGGGGTGAAACCCCAATCCCCCTTACAAGGTTGGGCAGGTGATTCACATAGGTTGAAGAAAAACAAACACCTCAAAACAATCCTGACCCCGAATTCTTTTCAGGTTGAAGAACAAAAACCTCAAAACAGTCCTGACCCCCTGAAGATTTTGCTCAGTCGGCTGTCCTGGATGATGCTAAAATTAGAGACTCTCCTGAACCGCCCGCCTGCACAGTGGAAATGCTCCCCAGCAAAGGACCACCATGGACCCCCCCCGCAGGCCCTTTTTTTCCGGGTTGGACGTCCATGGGTCGGCCGAAACCACCCATCGGTTCCAGGTTCGCCGGTCCAGGACTCAGAGGGACCGAGCGTGGAAGAGGATGGCACGATGACCGAAAGGCTCCTGAAAGGTGAAATCCTCATAGACCACCTCATCATCTACCATGGCCCTGGACACCGCCGCCACACGTCGTCGTCTTCAAACACAAACACACCGACATCTCGGATCGGGGAAACATGGCGGATGAGGCCAGCCATGTGTCTCATGTCTGAGTTCCCGGTCGCCGTGGGCAAAGGCAAGGGCTGACCAAACCGGACATGTGAAACTGCAGTCACAAAGGGGTGCTATCCATGGAGGTGGTCGGGGTGCCCAGCTACTCCACTCACTGGATGGGACTGAACACCACCCCTTTGTGACTCCTGGAAGAGATGTTGGGCTTCATGCAGGATCACCTTAGTTGCTTGAAGTATTTTTGTTGGCTCCGTGCCCGCTCATGCGGGTCAAAAACAATGAGCTGAAGTGAGGAGAGAAGATCCTGCCAGGAGTTACATCAAAGGGGCGCTATTCTTGGATGAAGGAACCTGGACAAAAACAAAACTTTATTAATTAACCCGTTTGGGAAAAACACATCACCTGATCCGCAAACCAGGTATTTCAGTCCCCATCCCCCGAGTGCATGTTCTGAGCACGTTCCCTGTTGACCCTTTCCTCCACGGAACGGCGACCGTGTCCTCTCCCTCCCGTTGCAAACCCAGGTCAAGCACCTTCGGTTTCCCCATGCCACACTGCTCAGTGATCGGAGTTCCTCCGCAAGATCGTGCTTTCTTCCATATATATTCCCGTTTGGGCTCCAGTCCCATAGCCTCAGAAGGTAGCTAGACAGACCCCCCTGGCAACCCAACCACCTTCGAAACGGAGGTGGTTGGAGTGGATTATAGTTATACATAATATATATATATATATATAAATTAACATCTTAATCCAATTATTATAGGTTGTCCTGTCAGAACCACATTTGACCCTGTCAAGACTCTCCCACTGATTTCGTCGCGTACAAATCAATCTGGATCCTCCATCCCTCCTACGAATTACACCGTCCATTCTTTCTCTCAGCCAAGGGCTTTGGTCGCCTATGACTACTTTACACCGCCCAAAGTATAAGATCAGAGGGTGGAACCACCTACCATCCCCTCGGACCGTCCTGCTACTCTCCGTCCGACTCCGTCCCCCTTCCTTTGCCACCTGCCGCGCTCGTCCCGCGACGCGGAGAACGGCGCGGGTCGAAGGAGTGGCTCCAGGGCGCAAGGCTTGCTCCAGGTCTCGGCCATTCACCGCCGCATAGAAGGATTCCATGACCTCCACCCGTGCGAACACCACCCGTGCGGCCGAAGAACCGGGTGAAGGAAAACCCAGGGCTGGAGCGGGTCGGAAACAGATGTTGCCAGGGCTCCAAGGGTCAGAAAAAGGAACGCATTTGGAACGTCACAGGGTTACGTGGAGTTCACCACCTGTTTCTAGTGGATGGAACATGGATGGAACATGGTCTTCCGAACTGCCAGGACCTCCACGTAACCATGTTTTTTTCATACTGCATCAAGTCCAAACAACGATGAGCTCGGTACCGCGGCGCGCCGAAAGCATTTGTGTGCACACACAAATCTGCATCAGCTGAGCCAAACTCTGAATAACTATATAATCTAAATCCCAGACCATCTATATGTAGAATAATGGTTATACTCACCAATAAGGATCATAAAATGCATTCAAATTGGTCAAAAAAAAGGTAAAGTCTTTGGGGGACGTGGCACCTGCCGCACAAGCCTCGCCTGCCGCGCGCCCTGCCGCGCCACGTGCGGCCGCCGCGGTGCTCGGTCCGCCCCGCCCACGAAGCTGAAGCCGCCCCCGGCCACGAGGCCGCACAGGGCGACGGCTCGGCGCCGTGGAGCGCGCGACATGGCGGGGTCCGGTGTATAAATTGGCACGGCTACTTGGCAACTTGGCAGTGGCATGGTTAAGGATTTTTGGATGATGGATATATGCAGTATTGGCCTTTTTGGAGTTGAATAAGCTTGGGAGCGATCCTGCTGATCATCTGGCTTAGTCCATTCACCTATCTAAACATCAAAAGCACAATTTCAATCACGGGCCAGCTGGCCTCGTACATGTCAAAAAATCGGCAAACACAAATGAGAGTTGACAATTGACGAGCTGTCTAATAGACCGTGCGTCGTTTTATCCCTGAGCATTTTCATCATTGTCCATCTGACCAATGCAGCGATGCAAACTGCTGAAGCCGTGAAGTACGCCAGCAACCCTTTCCGAGGTTGTCTAAGGGCTGGGGAACAAAGGACAAGTCACCGGCGAACTCGCGAGACTCGCCGGCATAGGCTACCAGTCAGTTCTCCACATTTAAACATCCGAGGTCTCGTGGAACAAACTGTTGATCATCTAACAATCCCAGGCGCTCCATAGGACTGCCAGGACGGACTCCCGAGAAACGGCCAGGGGTGGTTTTGGGGGCGCAGTCCCATGGAGTGTCTGGGAATGTAACAATGCAATAATAACATATTAATTGGTATATATTAATGTATTTTGCGAGTATGGTCTTGGAGGTGAAAGGTATACATCCTCGCAAACTAACATATTCCACCTGACCACACGTTGTTTTGTGTAATATACGGGTTTAAACAGGCAGGTTCTATATGTCTGCGTTTCGGGTGCCTCCTCATGTGGTCTCCATCGCCAACCCGGACTGGGCGTCCAACGGCCACGGTGCCATCTTGGAAGGCCTAGAACGAGACACAGCTGGACCAGCAGCCGCCCGGACTTCACTTCAAGGACCTGAAACTTGGACATCTATATAAGAAAAAACAAGTTATCTATTAACTGGGACTTTACTTAACTGGGACTTTACTTATTAGCAACATCGTGTTGAAAGTAAAAACATCTATCACTATGGATGATCCACATACCTTCTCAGAAGGTGATTGGAGACTATTTGTAGGCTTGGGGAGCCCAATTGCCTTCTAAGAAGGTGGCAGTGGATCCATAGGGAATGGCTAATGGGAGTCCCAGGATACCCAATCCATCCCCCTGCGATTCCGGACGTCTCCATTTTCAGAGATACGCTTGGAGTCTCCAGGCAGTGGCTGTTGCTTCTTTCTAGCGTGGTGGGTGGTCTATGTAAAAAGCTATACGACACGCCGTTGTCCCTAAAATGGACCCAGTTCATCTTGATAGGCGTTGGCCCACATGAAGTCCTTGGGATGCGTTAGGGTTTCAACGAGACCCCCTCACTCACTCCAGGCATTGGCTTCCTGTGTCCTTCCTCACAGAGGCCGCCCGACCTCACACTCGCCGCTCCTAAAAGGTCTCTCCCTATCCCTCAGTCCAAGACCTTCTCAAGCTCCGTTTTTCGCCCTCTGCTCGACCTCTCTCTCGTGACCCCAACACACCAGAGCCGGAGCCCGATCGTAGGAGCCAGCAGTGAGGCAGCGAAGTACCTCGCCCTGGTGCGTACCTAGCAGCCTGCCTCTGCAAGAACACACGAAAGAACGTTTTTGACATGTCCATTCATGGTGCTTTCTCCTTGCGCAACCCTCTAACTCCTCGTACGAACCACTTCAACTGGGAAGTGCCAAGAATATCCCCTGTACCCACGCATACAAAAGCACAGTACAAGACATATCATTTCAAATATCATGTCTCATGTCATGTGCATTATGTGTAATTATGCATATATAGATCGTTTCATGTCTCATGTCATGTATATAGTGATGTGTTCTTTACATATCATGTCATGAGTCATATCTCTTTCTTGAAAGGTGTGTCCCTGCTTTCCTTCTCTTCTCCTCCCCTGGCGCTGCTAGCACTGGCCGCTGCGCTGCTAGCGCTGCTCTGGGCCACCCGACGCCCGGCAGGTCCAGTACTTCCTGCGGTGAGATGCGGAGTGTTCACCGTCAAATCTGCTTTTGTTACTTGGGGTTTTCTTAGCAAAGCCACCGTCAGACAGTGGCTGTGCAACTTGGCCAAAGCTTGAGCTGTTTTTGCGGGATTTGGAGCGGGTGTGGACACTCCGGATCCTGTGGATCCGATGCGGACCCGGATCCTGCGGACTCATGTGATCTGTGTGTTGCAGAAAGAACTGGTAGAAGTGATGGCCGAATCACCTAGAAAGGTGCGACAGCTCTACGAACGAAGGAGGAGCCACTATGAACGAAGGCGGTCAGCCGGAAGAGAAGCGATCAGATGGAGGAAGTGGTTCTCTATTCACTCTGTCTCACTCGGTTCACATGGTACTCGGCGGATTGCAATGAGATTGATGGATGCAGCCAGCTTCTTAGAATGCTTCTTTCGCATGTTACATCTACATTGCAATTGTTCTAAGTGACAGCTCACGGATTATATATTGCATCCATATGAGAACCCAGCAAAAAACAAGCAAGTAACTCACAAAGAGGGCCCAGAATCTCGAGGACAAGAGGAAAGCAATGTCTACAGCTCCTGTTTCTCATGGGCATCTTCACCAACTTCACCATCTTCGCATGACCAAGACAACGAAAGATACTCCATGGGACTGCCATATATATGCCCAGTCCCATCGACCCCTCTGGCACCACCCCTGGCCGTTTTGAAGGCAGTCCTATACCAGTCCCATGGATTGTTTGGGAAAGGAAAGACCAACCTTCCTGCGCTGGAAGCTGCGCTCCTCGTGATGGAAGCTCAACGTGCCCTTGCTCTCGTCATGCAGCCCAAGGCCTGTGGTGACCTGAGGAGAGAGAGAGAGAGAGCCGAAGCACCAAAGCGAAGCGCCCATACCTTGGGCATCCAACATTGGACACAGGAAAGCCATTATATATAATATAAAATATATATATATATATACTGATTCATCATATATACAAATATATTTAATAGAGAGCTCGACGTTATGCGGGTGTGGTTTTTACGTGCTTTTGTGGTGTTTTTCTTAGATTTTGTCATGTTTAGTCAGAGTTTCCATGGTTATTGTCTAGATATGTTCTTGTGCTCCTGTTTCCTAAACAAAACCAACTGTTCTTGTTTAAAAAACCTCTGGATCCAACTCTACCCTTCCTTGCCCATAAGCATTCTGATTGTTTCAAAGGTAGCACTTTTTGGGCTTCTCCCTCCACATTCTTTATGAAATGGGCTTCTCCCTCCACATTCTTTATGAAATGGAGAGAAGATCATTATCTTGAAACACAATGTGCCCACCACGCCCAACAAAAGTTGAGAAACTTGCTTAGTAGTACTGGACCTGGATGACTGATTGGAATTGGGTTTTGCATGGCCTTCTTGACGTCCATACCCATAATAAGCCTCATCCTCATTCTCAGGGTCACTTGGGAGCTCACATCCTATCCCACAAGTTCGATTGGACCAATCCTGCTCATCTCCACTGCTCTCACCCAATGGCTCTTCAGATCTATGCTCCACATCCCCCCATCTATGACGAAATCTTCCAAAGAATCTTATGAAGCCCATGGAATGATCCAGCCTTAGATACACTGAGGGTCTGAATTGGCTGTGTGGCCACTACTCATTCCCAAGGCTACCTTCTCTTCACCCTAACCTTCTTGCCCACACATAGATATACATGAAGTCAGGTTGTACCAAACCTGGCATGCTCAGCATGCTCCTAATATTCACCCAACATTGCCAAGGACATTCTCGCGATGCCACCCAAGCTCAAAACCTCATTGGACCTCACCAACACCCACCCAAAAGTAAACCAATAGATTGTGCAAAAAAAATGCACTACCAATAGCATGAATCATAAGGAGCAACCAATGTTGTACCCAAATGGTTCTGATCTTCCATTGGGCCACCTAATCATGCACAAACCCATTTGCACCAAGCATTCCATGGACCCCATCCCCATCATTGGTTGCCCAGCAAGTTTCCCTCTCACATGGTGCCCATGTGTTCTTGGAGGACAATCAAACCCAATCGAAGCACCATCCATATTGTGCTGCTGTCTAGAGCATTTGCTCAATGGCTTGTATGGCAAAACAATTTGCTCAAAGTCAGGATCCCAATCTCTCGTGCCCAGGTGTTGCATCCACGCAACCGCCTTTGGTCTCAAATGGAATTGCACGCATACAGCCACAAGCCCAATGCCAGCTGTTTGATGCACCCAATGCTTCATCTCATCTCATCTCATCTCATTTCATCCACATTGGAAGTTCCATTTTCCTATGCTCTCTAGCTATATGCCCATCTCTCTCTTTCATTGGATATCTTAAGCCACCAAATCAAGACAATCTTCCACACTCCATCATTGAGACCATACAGTATAGGTATCCACCCTCACCACGTAGAGCCTACAGTATATACAAGTGCTTGCAGGAGCAGACAGTTGTGTCTTCAAACAGACGAGGGGAATATAAGAAGTTGTGGTGGAATTGCTACTCCTACACAGGTAGCTATAATGAAATCAATAATCTTGACTATCTCTAGCACCTGGGCCACTTCCAGCTCGTGGAATTGACAATGAGTCCTCAATCTCCAGCAAGTGGGGCCTGGGCCTGGGCTTCTCTAGGGGGGGGGGCG